TCCAACACTAGGAAGAGCTACTCAGAAAGAATAGAGGTCACCAGGGCTGAAGGTTTAGCTCCCCATCTACAGACATCTGAGGACCCACACAATAGGTATAATAGCTATTTGTGGCCATCATATAGATAACTCACTTGCAATACAGTTGCATTTCATTAGAGTGAGTTTCTTCACTTATCAGTATCAAGAAATGAATCAACTGAAAAAATGATCTAATGTTAATTAGAGGCTCTGCTTGGCAGGAATTTATCTCTTTTATTAGCACAAATGGGTAAAACACCTAAATGAGAGTGCTGAGTAAAGTTTTTGAAGCATAAAGTCCATGGGGGAAAATAAGAAGGATCCTTGGTAGTTAAAATTAAGGCTGAGAATCAGAGACTAACAAAATAGTTCTAGCCCATTTCCACAACCTTCCCTTCCTTCTAATCTTACCTCAGACATTACAGGCTAATAAGGAAAATTAGAACTTTCAGGCTGAGGCAATTTAATGAGGAAATTTGCTCTCAGGGTTTAAAGAACACAAAGTTCAGAAAAGGTCTTCTGTAGTCAAGAGGACATCTTTGACTTTCGAAAGATAGATAGAGTCTAAGAGGTGATGCTGAAAAGGAGGAAAAACCTAGTTGCTGACTGGTTCTGACTTTTGCCAGGTGTGTCAGTCCAAGTCCTTCAAAAAGCAAACGCCATGCACAAGCAGAGTCTCCTGCAGCCAAATGTGCAACACACCTATTAGGGGAAACACATGTGAAGAACAGAGAGGAAAGGGAGCGGCAGCAGGTGAGAAGGGCCCTTGGGTCTGTCCAAAAAGCAGGTCTGATCCCTAGGGAGAGAGAGAATATTATGTAGGAGAGCCTCACACTGCAATGAGGCTCTGCAAAAGTCTCAACCATGCCAAGAGCACACCACAGAGCAAAGACCGCCAATGAGCAGATCCCTGAACTGATCAGGAATGGCTCCACTCTAGCAAACCCATCGTGGTCAGACAATAAGTGAAGCAATGCAGAGAGGACATGGCCTCAGCAGTAACACTGCAGGAGATCCCAAACTACAGGGGCTGAACGCCGTGGGCAACGACAAGCTCCATGGCAGGTTCTCCCAAGAAGGGAGAGACGAGAAACTCACTGCCGTGGCTGCCACAGCCCACCCCTGTGCTGCAAGGATCCACTTCTCCACCCACGTTGGAAAACAGCTGCTCCTCAGTTCCTGTGGGCCTCTCCTAAGGAGACACTGAGGAGAAAAATATGAGCAGGACAAACATTGTCCCCATTACTGCAATTATTCTCAGGGCTGCAACTCACCTCCATCCTCCAATATCTATCAAAATTCCCCTCCCTCTCACCTATCACTTCTGCAGGTCTTGGTAGCTGGTGGGATTAAGTGACCCAAACACTCTTTTTAGGTCTCTGAAAGTGTTAGTTGCTCAGTCATGTCCATCTCTTTGCAACCCCATGGACTGTAACCCACCAGGCTCCTCTGTCCATGGGATTCTCCAGGCAAGAATACTGGAGTGGGCTGCTATTCCCTTCTCCAGGGGATCTTTCCAGCCCAGGGATCAAACCCAGGTCTTCCACATGGCAGGCAGATTCTTTACCATCTGACCACCAGGGAAATCCTTAGGCATCTGAACCTCTGGCAACCATATCTTCGTCATCCGAGGGTAGTTGTGACAGGTCCATGCATGTTAAAATTAGCGGATCACTCAAGTGCCACCCATAGTCAACCTGTTGCACTGTGCAGAAGCAATTTTACCTCTTTTAGCTCATCTGGGTCCTGCCTGTTGGTCCCTGACACAAGAGTCTAAAGTAAATCATTGCAACCACAGCTTGCAGCCAAACTGTACCCTTGTTATGTTCTCTATGGAAAGACTGCACCCACTGCAGGACTGGGACGACTAACCATGCAGAGCTCAGAGGTGCAGAGATACCCACCTACATAAAGTCCCCCAGTGGAAAACTGGGAACTACAGTAAGTAGAACTACCTGTTTCCACCTCCTGCTTCCTAGACCATGCAGCCTACCTACTGGGGATAGAGAATCAAGTGGAAATTTCTAATTTAGTTCCTATACTGCATCCTGAAAGATGGCAGCCCATCCTTGCAGAGTACTTCCTCTGAGTTAGAGCTTCATCTGTGGCTTCTCAAGACCGTTTCAGCACTCCAAGAGGCCCACTGCCTCTGGATGATACACTCTGTGATACAACCAGTGGATGCCAAGGCACTGCAGCACCCCCCCCCAATACACACACACACACACACACATTTCCCAACAAACTCAGTCCCTTGTTTTAATGCTGCGTTGTATGTGGTTCCATACCTGTGGATCAAGGACTCAATTGGTAACATTAAACATATACTAAGTTGCCAAGTAAAAATGATTAATTATATGCTAAATTTAAAAATAAATAAAATAGTTATTGCCCTAGAAGCTCACAGTCTCAGAATCAAATACCTTAGCAATGTCCTCCTTCATCAATACATACCATACTTTTAACAAGAACATATAAACGGTCTTAGGTATTGATAAGCCACCATCACAAACCCTTAATCATAATCACTGAAAATACTCAAGCGGTAACAAAAATGTATTTTTATGCCCAATAGTCATTAGTTGGCAACAGTTAATACTAACCATAATTTCCATTGGGTTGGTCACAAAGTTCATTAGGGTTCTTCAAAAAACCAAAATGAAAAATCCAAATGAACTTTGTGGCCAACCCAATAAAATTAATTGGTAATATTTAACAAGTTCAATTCCATGAATCTTAAATTATTATGTTATATTTAATTTAATAAATTAAATCTTAAATTATTAAATTAAAATATTATAAAATATTTATATGACCAAGTGGGCTTTATCCGAGGAATGCAAGGATTCTTTAATAT